TCTCCGGTGGTATCATCCGCTCCAGCTGGGAGAGGAGGATCGACACCGCCATACGCCGGCGCCTCCTATTCGATTGCATCGCAGCACGTGTCCCCGCGTCAGAATCGGACGAGTCAGACGAATTGTCTTGCATGGTTTGGTGTGCGCCGGATTTGTGTGTGCTGGGCTGGCGCAAGGTGCGGGCTTGAATTTCATTTTCCAAATTACAATTGTGAAAATAAAATGTGCTGCGCAACCTCTCTACTATTGAATATTACACACAATTCAATACTATCAGGTTTCGGTGCAGTATTTTAAGGCAGTTGGATTACTTAGGCCTGTTGTCTCTTAATTGCACTTACAAATCAGCTCTTTGTCAATATTGCAACCAAGTGCATGCTGTTACAGGATACTCAGCCAACATTCTGTGCCAAAATATGATATGCGCAAGATGACAACATGCTACATTTCTTGCCTTGTGAATTCAACTGTTAAGAATTGTTTAGGAGCTTTGTAGTGCTGCATGCTAAGAGACTGAAGTTCAGAAGTGGATGTGTTAATTTTGGGCACAACTTACAGAAAAAATCCAGATAGTCTGATTTGTGTCTGTTGTATGCAAAGAGGTCTTTACTTGAACTTCTGTTCATGTGCATTCAGTGATGGAAGATGATGTCACTTCATGTTCTTCATTTTACACAGTGTACAAGTAGACTACCACTTCAGGTGGAAGATGATGCCACCTCACCATCTTTATATTCCACTTAAAACTTCAATTTATGTGGAAGGCAACAAATTACTGCTCAAGTTTTGGGTGTAGGGTTTTGGATTAATGGTGCAGGTTGTTTTTGAAACAATTTTGTGCACTGCACAGTGCTGGAAGGTTCTGGGGGGTTCCAAGTGCAAAAAGTTGTGAGAATGCTCAAATGCCCTCTGAAGGTGCAATGTGCCATTCCAGAGAACCAGTTATAGCCAATTTTGAAACCCACTATTGTGATCAATAAACAGAGGTGTGCAGGTAGGGAGGGGGGGGGGAGTTTATTCTTGTTATGCATAGATGGCATTATAAGTTCATCAAGTTTTTTTTGACAGACCATTTTTGGAATCTAGAGATA